TGTTTCAGCTCTGCATGGCTATTTCAGCAAGTCAGAGGTGAGTTTGTGGTGATTTCTGCGTCCAGTGTGAGTATCTCGCCGTGTTGTGGGTGGGAGAGGAGGAAGTGGCCAGATCCTCCCTCGCCACACACTCACTCACGCTCCTCGCCACCACACTACCATACACCACCATGCCATCACTCCCTCTGCTGTGTTTTCTGCTGTTTTCCATGTGATTTCATTGCCAGAGCTGTGTATCCAAGTGCCCGAGGCCACTCGAAGCTACGTGGATCAGCATGCCACATAGATCATGACGCCACGTGGATCCCGACACCACATGAGGTGTGGATGAAGCCACATGGACCTATGAGCCACGTGAGTTACCGAGCCAGACGTCCTAGGCCACATGCTGTGGTCTGCTGCCCGCATCACATTGACATCACCGATGCTGCTGCCCGACTTCATGACGTCACGATGTCTGCCTGACGTCACCTCGAGACATCTGCTGACGTCACAGTGCTGCTGACGTCACCTCACGACGTCATGCCTGACATCACATGATGTCACACCAAGTGTTTCGGTAATTATGTCAGTATTGTCGAGAAGATTGAGAGAAGATATGTGTTGTGTGTTAATTAATTCCTCTCAGTCAGTGTTCTCACATGTTAGTGTATGACTTAGTGTCAATTTTGTGCACAAAAAAGCATAATTTGCTAGTTTAAGCCATGTTGTACCGCATGTACTGCAGGTGTGTGTGCAGTTTTCCATGTTTCCTGTGTGGTCTTGAGCCCAGCTGTGTGTCGACCACAGGTCTGCGGCCAGACCCCTGTGTAGTACCTTGTGTTGTCACCCGGTGTGACCTGCATGTCTGACAGCTGATATTAGTCAGCCCTGAGCGTATGAGCCCCTTGTACAGAAAGCTCTTATGCTCGTTGCTCGTGATGTCCTGCAGAATCGTACCTGCTATGATTCCCATCGAGATTTGTTTCAATTCACCTCCAGACTTTCAGAGTGCAGTTACATGTAGAGAAACAAGTCTGGGGACATTTAGACTAACCTCTGCTATAACTCCAACTGCCGAGAGAATGACACTCGTCAAGCCACAGTTAGCCCTGTCAGCAGGCACTGTGTCAGCCTCGTGTCACAAGCTTCAGTGAGCTCCTGCACAAAGATGATGTCACTTTGACTGCCAGCTCACTCACTGCAGTCTGGTGTATGATGTTACGACTCCCAGATGTTTCACCCAGTCGTCTCTGCCACGACTCGCTCCACGACTTACTCCACACTCGCCGGCAGTGACAGCCCAGCGACAGTACCAGTCGAGAAGTGTCCTCCTGAGTTGCTTGCCAGAAGTCCTGCCTAGTTGCCGAGTTTTGATGACGCCTCACTCAAGGGCACCAGCATGTCGTGCCCCAGGTTTGGTGAAACCTGCAGTGACTCCTACAATGACTGCTTCACCATTCTAGAGGAGACCGTACCCTGTCACATCACAGCTCAGTCAGCCACAGCGATGTCTCCTGTGTTGCAGTATCTGTCCAGATGCAGGAAGGTGTGCAGTGATGCCCATCGACGCTCACTGCCTTTGATCACTATGTTTAGCACACCCTGCATGTTTTTTTCTTCCCTCCCTGTAGGAAGTTTTTTTTTCCATGTCCATATGTATATATATATATGATTTATATTCTGTGTTCTGTGCCCTGTTCCTGCGAGAGAGAGACCGAGTTTTTTTTACCACCAGAGGTAGGTGGCTGAGCAAATGTAGACAGCCTGTACTGTCTGCACAGACAGCCTATGCTGTCTGCCAGCTTAGTTCATATTTTGCGGCACTCAGGTGCTGCCCTCGCTAGGCCTGCCCAGGTCAGTGGGATGCTGGTCCCACTCACTCGCACTCTCTCAGCAGCCTAGACTCAGACAACAGGTCCTGCTCCTCTCTCTCCCTCGTGGGCATGGCCCTCCCGGGCCATGGGCACAAACACACAAGCCTGTGTACCCACCACGACTTTGCGAATAAATAAGAAGCCTCCAAAGCCTTTATCATTGAACCCCGCTTGCAGCTTACCAACAAAGTAATTGTTTCACAGCTTTACAGCATAGCCAAATATTTTGATTGTCCTTTATAAAACATTCTGTTAGAAAATTGTGCTACCAGAGGTTGTATTATGAGAGAGTTTACTCTATTCTCTCAACTGGTTCAAAATTGCCTACACATTTGCTTAGCACCTTCAAAAAATCTCCCACTCTTCTACAATCCTCTCATAAATAACAAAAGAAGGCACAATACCATGACTGGAACGATACAAAATAACTCGCACATAGAAGAGAGGAGCTTACGACGTCGTTTCGGTCCGACTTGAACCATTTACAAAGTCACACTAATGAGAAGTAGAGCAGGAAGGGTATATATAGACAGGAAGTGGTAGTGGTAGAGGTGTAGTAGTAGTAGTAGTAGTAGTAGTAGTGGTAGTAGTAGTAGTAGTAGTAGTAGTAGTGGTAGTAGTAGTAGTAGTAGTAGTAGTAGTAGTAGTAGTAGTAGTAGTAGTAGTAGTAGTAGTAGTAGTAGTAGTAGTAGTAGTAGTAGTAGTAGTAGTAGTGGTAGTAGTAGTGGAGGTGGAAGGAAGTAGTAGTGGGGAAGTAAGAAGGAGGAGGAGCCAGTCAAATACTAAGAAAGGGGAGCACTGCAAGGAAGCTGGTGCCCACAGAGGGTAAGAGCAAGAACACAAAGGGGGGGGGAATAAAAAAAATAATGAAGGAGCAAAAACACAGGGCAGAAGAAAGACAACCCAGAGGAGAAAAAGGAAAGAGGAAAGGGGAAGAGGGAGAAGAAGAAAAAGGAGGAATCAGGTTAAGTCACGGGTGTTCTGAAGTTTGGAGCATTTTACAATGTAGTGGGAAAGGAAGGTATCTACAGAGACGAAGCCAGGACTAAGATTCATACAAGGAAAATTGTGTATTAGGCTTTCCGACACTAACAATGCTCTTTTCTGTCACATCAGAGATCACAGCAATCCTACTGACTGGTCTTCTGCTAAAACTGTCATCCCTACTTCCAACTTTAACAGTCGCCGTCTGGCTGAATCCTCCATAATACACAACTTTCCTTGTATGAATCTTAGTCCTGGCTTTGTCTCTGTAGATGCCTTCCTTTCCCACTACATTGTAAAATGCTCCAAACTTCAGAACACTCGTGACCTAACCTCATTCCTCCTTTTTCTTCTTCTCCCTCTCCCCCTTTCCTCTTTCCTTTTTCTCCTCTGGGTTGTCTTTCTTGTGCCTTGTGTTTTTGTTTCTTCGTTTTTTTTTTATTATTACCCTCCCCCTGTGTTCTTGCTCTTACCCTCTGTGGGCACCAGCTCCTTTGCAGTGCTCCCTTTTCTTAGTATGTATTTGACTGGCTCCTCCTCCTTCTTACTTCCCCACTACTACTTCCTTCCACCTCCACTACTACTACCACTATCACCACTACTACTACTACTACCACTACCACTATCACTTCCTGCCAACATACAGTGGACCCCCGGTATTCGATATTAATCTGCTCCTGAGAGCTCATCGTATACCAAAATTATCGAAAGGCGAATTAATTTTCCCCATAAGAAATAATGGAAATCAAATTAATCCGTGCAATACACCCAAAAGTATGAAAAAAAAAAATTTACCACATGAAATATTAAGTTTAATGTACACAAACTGAAGAAGACATGCACAGTTTGTAGTACTCTACTAACAATAGAATACATGACACTTACCTTTAATGAAGATCTGGTGATGATTGATGGGATGGGAGGAGGGGAGTGTGTGTTGAACTTATTGTTTAGAAGGGGAATCCCCTTCCATTAGGACTTGAGGTAGCAAGTCCTTTTCCAGGGTTACTTCCCTTCTTCTTTTAATGCCACTAGGACCAGCTTGAGAGTCACTGGACCTCTGTCGCACAACAAATCTGTCCATAGAGCTCTGTACCTCCCGTTCCTTTACGATTTGTCTAAAATGGGCCACATTTTTTGTCATTGTAATAGTCACCAGCACAGCTTGCAATAGCTGTGTTAGGGTGATTTTTCATCCATAAAGGTTTGCAGTTCAACCCAGTTTGCACACATTTCCTTAATTTTTGAAGTAGGCACAATGGATTCCACAACTGGCATAGGCTTCTCAGGGTTAGCCCCAAACCATTCAAAATCTTTCTTAATTTCCATACTAATTCTCACCCTTTTTACCACAGGGTTGGCACTAGAAGCTTTCTTGGGGCCCATGGTGACTTATTTTGCAGAAACAAGCACCAAAAACACTGTGATAATATGGAATGTACCGAATGTATCCTTAGATGCGAGCACACTGGCTGGCTTGTAAACACTGGCATGCACGGGGCAGTTCAGGCCACACGTGGACACGTCTCGGACGAATCACGTGTGGTGGGTTTTTTAATGAGTGGCGAGGCAAAATTTTTGCGTCAAAATGTATCGAATACCAGATTTAACGGATACCAATGCCATCGAATACCGGGGGACCACTGTATACCCTTCCTGCTCTACTTCTCGTTAGTGTGACTTTGTAAATGGTCCAAGTCGGACCAAAATGTCATCGTAAGCTCCTATCTTCTATGTGCGGGTTATTTTTGTATACAATCCTCTCACCTGCTGGCCCAAACACTTAATATAACCACTTCTCACATCCCACTTTTGATCATAAATTGTTCATTCAACATTTTGTTTCACTCACTGCTAGAATATCCAGCTACCTTTAATTCAAACCATTAACACTCAACTATTAAATATAAAAAACAGTAAAACAAACTGACTTCAATTTCTTGTTTTTTAGTTTAGGAATTTAACCCAGAAAAAGAGAGAGGGTTACCAACTCCTTGTACTCAGTAATTTAGATGCCTTTTATGGCATATTCAGAATGTATGCAAAAAATTCTAAGTTACATTAACATTGTAGAATATGAGAAAAAGTAAGAAAATTACTTTTCAAACAAATATTGACTAACAGTATTAGAATAAATAGAATAGACATTTATTTTCTTACTTTAAAGTAGCAAAGTTGAAGATAATCGTATGGCTTCCTCCTGTCAAAATCCTCATTGATCATACCCTCAACTAATCGATCCATGCGTGATCCAAGCACGCTCTTCTTGCACTTCACCACACAGAGAGTGTTATATACAGCTCTCTCATAAAACCTGTCATCCTCTGACAGTTTGGCTGATATAAGATTGCTCTTTTCACTCTCATTACTGCATTTACTTCGACATCTGTAAAGAAAGTTAATAGTAAATGGCAGTGCGCAAGTTGAGTAGTTTTACCAATATTTAAATAATTTCAATTTCAAAGCTATGAATAATTTAAATTTCAAAGCTATGAATAGTCAACAAGTGTGATAAGTCTAACAAAGCAAATTTTCAACCAAAAACATATTTTGGTTAAGGGTGTATGTAATTAAAATATGGCCCTGTAGAGCTGTATAATACACAACTATGTACCTTAAATGAAACATATCACTTTTATGGTTGATTCACTGCGAACTCAACAACAGTAAAAACAGATGCCTGTAGATGATACATTCCAAATTTAGATAACTGTTGTCAATATTACATAAATTTACATGAAGATATAAAGAAATTATAGTATTCCATTTATCATAAGTGGTAACAGCAATCTATATGATGGTTAGACAATGGTAAGAGAACTAATGAATGAACAAAGATGATGAATAAGTTTTCTATTGTTTGGTTCACCCAACATTGGTGGTTGATGTGTTAAAAAAAATTCCACCATCCAATTATTTAAAGCATATATTTAATACTAGCAAATTGCTTCTATTAATTTTGTAAGTTTCAGGTTGATAGTAATAATGGCTACAGAAATTACTATATTTAACAATGAAAGGAATTTGCAAATCTTTTATTCTCAGTCCTGCAATGCTACATTCTTTACAGTAAGATTTATGTAGTTTGCTTATAATATAGTGATACAAATATAAATGGAGAAGTTTCAATTGCATATACTGTAGTAGCACATGTGCTAATCTTGCTATAGAGTCCATGCTTGCTTTATGTATGTACACAGCACACAGAAAACTTTAAAATATTTGAACATTGCCGAAATCTCAAAAGACAAGAATACGTTAAAGAATATCCCAAGATTTCTAGTGTATGCTGGTGTACTGTAACCTACCCATGATAACCTTATACAACTTGCACACACCCTCTATACCATAAATATAATTTATTATTTTAAACCAATGTAAGTAATATAAGCAAGGTGAATGTAGGTGTGCAGATGACTAGCTTGCTTCTTAGACCTTAAACTGTATCCATCAAGTGTAAAAATTATAGGGGAATAAACCTGTTGAATATACCTGGTAAGGTGTATGGTAGAGTTATTACTGAAAGAATTAAGAGTAAGACGGAGAGCAGAACTGTAAATGAACAAAGAGGCTTTAGGAAGGATAGGAGGTATGTAAACCAAGTGTTGACAGTGAAGCATATAGCTGAACAGTATTTAGATAAGGGAGCCAAGGCCGGGTCACCATCTGGAGAAGACCCAGGTGAGCAGTACCGGTGAACATAATACAATACGACAGACGAGGGTAAAGAGGTTTTCGTTGCATTTATGTTTTTGGAAAAGGCATATGATAGGGTGGGTAGGGAAGCAATGTGGCAGATGCTGCAAGTGAATGGAATAGGTGGTAGGTTACTAAAAGTAGTTAAATGAGTTTTTACGAGAATAATGAGGCTCAGGTTAGGGTATATGTATTGTATGTATGTATGTATGTATGTATGTATGTATGTATGTATGTATGTATGTATGTATTTTTTTTTTTATTATTATCACACTGGCCGATTCCCAAGGCAGGGTGGCCCGAAAAAGAAAAACTTTCACCATCATTCACTCCATCACTGTCTTGCCAGAAGGGTGCATTACACTACAGTTTTTAAACTGCAATATTAACACCCCTCCTTCAGAGTGCAGGCACTGTACTTCCCATCTCCAGGACTCAAGTCCGGCCTGCCGGTTTCCCTGAACCCCTTCATAAATGTTACTTTGCTCATACTCCAACAGCACGTCAAGTATTAAAAACCATTTGTCTCCATTCACTCCTATCAAACACGTTCACGCATGCCTGCTGGAAGTCCAAGCCCCTCGCACACAAAACCTCCTTTACCCCCTCCCTCCAACCTTTCCTAGGCCGACCCCTACCCCGCCTTCCTTCCACTACAGACTGATACACTCTTGAAGTCACTCTGTTTCGCTCCATTCTCTCTACATGTCCGAACCACTTCAACAACCCTTCCTCAGCCCTCTGGACAACAGTTTTGGTAATCCCACACCTCCTCCTAACTTCCAAACTACGAATTCTCTGCATTATATTCACACCACACATTGCCCTCAGACATGACATCTTCACTGCCTCCAGCCTTCTCCTTGCTGCAACATTCATCACCCATGCTTCACACCCATATAAGAGCGTTGGTAAAACTATACTACTCTCATACATTCCCCTCTTTGTCTCCAAGGACAAAGTTCTTTGTCTCCACAGACTCCTAAGTGCACCACTCACCCTTTTCCCTTCATCAATTCTATGATTCACCTCATCTTTCATAGACCCATCCGCTGACACGTCCACTCCCAAATATCTGAATACATTCACCTCCTCCATACTCTCTCCCTCCAATCTGATATCCAATCTTTCATCACCTAATCTTTTTGTTATCCTCATTACCTTACTCTTTCCTGTATTCACTTTTAATTTTCTTCTTTTGCACACCCTACCAAATTCATCCACCAATCTCTGCAACTTCTCTTCAGAATCTCCCAAGAGCACAGTGTCATCAGCAAAGAGCAACTGTGACAACTCCCACTCTATGTGTGATTCTTTATCTTTTAACTCCACGCCTCTTGCCAAGACCCTCGCATTTACCTCTCTTACAACCCCATCTATAAATATATTAAACAACCACGGTGACATCACACATCCTTGTCTAAGGCCTACTTTTACTGGGAAATAATTTCCCTCTTTCCTACATACACTAACCTGAGCCTCACTATCCTCGTAAAAACTCTTCACTGCTTTCAGAAACCTACCTCCTACACCATTCACCTGCAACATCTGCCACATTGCCCCCCTATCCACCCTGTCATATGCCTTTTCCAAATCCATAAATGCCACAAAGACCTCTTTAGCCTTATCTAAATACTATTCACTTATATGTTTCACTGTAAACACCTGGTCCACACACCCCCTACCTTTCCTAAAGCCTCCTTGTTCATCTGCTATCCTATTCTCCGTCTTACTCTTAATTCTTTCAATAATAACTCTACCATACACTTTACCAGGTATACTCAACAGACTTATCCCCCTATAATTTTTGCACTCTCTTTTGTCCCCTTTGCCTTTATACAAAGGAACTATGCATGCTCTCTGCCAATCCCTAAGTACCTTACCCTCTTCCATACATTTATTAAATAATTGCACCAATCACTCCAAAACTATATCCCCACCTGCTTTTAACATTTCTATCTTTATCCCATCAATCCCGGCTGCCTTACCCCCTTTCATTTTACCTACTGCCTCATGAACTTCCCCCACACTCACAACTGGCTCTTCCTCACTCCTACAAGATGTTATTCCTCCTTGCCCTATACACAAAATCACAGCTTCCCTATCTTCATCAACATTTAACAATTCCTCAAAATATTCCCTCCATCTTCCCAATACCTCTAACTCTCCATTTAATAACTCTCCTCTCCTATTTTTCACTGACAAATCCATTTGTTCTCTAGGCTTCCTTAACTTGTTAATCTCACTCCAAAACTTTTTCTTATTTTCAACAAAATTTGTTGATAACATCTCACCCACTCTCTCATTTGCTCTCTTTTTACATTGCTTCACCACTCTCTTAACCTCTCTCTCTTTCTCCATATACTCTTCCCTCCTTGCATCACTTCTACTTTGTAAAAACTTCTCATATGCTAACTTTTTCTCCCTTACTATTCTCTTTACATCATCACTCCACCAATCGTCGCTCCTCTTCCCTCCCGCACCCACTTTCCTGTAACCACAAACTTCTGCTGAACACTCTAACACTACATTTTTAAACCTACCCCATACCTCTTCGACCCCATTGCCTATGCTCTCATTAGCCCATCTATCCTCCAATAGCTGTTTATATCTTACCCTAACTGCCTCCTCTTTTAGTTTATAAACCTTCACCTCTCTCTTCCCTGATGCTTCTATTCTCCTTGTATCCCATCTACCTTTTACTCTCAGTGTAGCTACAACTAGAAAGTGATCTGAAAATATCGTGGCCCCTCTATAAACATGTACATCCTGAAGTCTACTCAACAGTCTTTTATCTACCAATACATAATCCAACAAACTAGTCATTTCGCCCTACATCATATCTTGTATACTTATTTATCCTCTTTTTCTTAAAATATGTATTACCTATAACTAAACCCCTTTCTATACAAAGTTCAATCAAAGGGCTCCCATTATCATTTACACCTGGTACCCCAAACTTACCTACCACACCCTCTCTAAAAGTTTCTCCTACTTTAGCATTCAAGTCCCTACCATAATTACTCTCTAACTTGGTTCAAAGGCTCCTATACATTCACTTAACATCTCCCAAAATCTCTCTCTGACCTCTACATTCCTCTCTTCTCCAGGTGCATACACGCTTATTATGACCCACTTTTCGCATCCAACCTTTACTTTAATCCACATAATTCTTGAATTTACACATTCATATTCTCTTTTCTCCTTCCATAACTGATCCTTCAATATTACTGCTACCCCTTCCTTTGCTCTAACTCTCAGATACTCCAGATTTAATCCCATTTATTTCCCCCCACTGAAACTCCCCTACCCCCTTCAGCTTTGTTTCGCTTAGGGCCAGGACATCCAACTTCTTTTCATTCATAACATCAGCAATCATCTGTTTCTTGTCATCCGCACTACATCCATGCACATTCAAGCATCCCAGTTTTATAAAGTTTTTCTTCTTCTCTTTTTTAGTAAAT